TTCTGGACATTTATGGTTTGATTTCTTTGTATGTATGGATCACTTGGGTTGTTACCAACATCTGGTGAAAATTTCATGTCATTAGCACCTCTAGCGATATATTTACTGAGAAAAATGGTGACGTGTTCAATGCTTATTTTACCCGCTGTATATGGTGTGTTCTCATCAAAAAGTAGTGTTTTAAGAGCTGTAGCTGAGTTGTTTAGCTCCCCCATTTGTTTACGGGTTTGCTTCAGTACCAGCACTGCCATACTGAACATGACGTCAACCCACTGCTGGTATGCAAACTACGTTGTGGGCGCAGCTGACGTGCACCCAGACACTCCCTATTCTTTTGCGTCCTTGCACTGAGGTTGCACTGCATAGAGGCGCATCCCCCAGGTAGTAGATCGGGGATCCCTATTCCTGGTATATAAGGGTGTGCCCGAATAAGCAGACAGGTGAATAGGATACCGGGAACCAAAAGCAGCCGGGCAGGTGGGGCTCAGTGGCCTTGACACGCAACCCACCTAGGAGAAGGAAAACTCTGATGTAAAACCTGGGTACCATCAACACTTGTCAGTCGTCTATCCCAGGTGGATGGCAAGATGACAAGTCTTTTAAATTGAGCGGACAAGGGACCGACTCCCAGTACCCGGTAGAAGGGGATTCTAAAATCTCTAGGGGACCTAGCCTGCAGCACATTGGGCACGGAGGCTGCAGGTGGTCCTAAGACTGTGCCTCTGGCCTGTCTGGTGGGGAATCAGTCTGGAACAACTTCCCATCTGGCCCCAGGACCTGATGCCTATGTGTTGGGTCCTGGGCAACCAGAGGGTTTAGTGCCCTGGGGCTCAGTGACGGCGATGGCTTCTGCCACTGCTGTCGCTGTGTCTACAGGGAGTACCCAGTGCAAGTGTAGCCCCTTGACTGCAGCCCAGTGGGGAGTGGTCGGGGCCTCACAAGCGCTAGGGTCTCCAGGAGATGAGGACATCGACATGATGCTGGTGTCCTCTGATAGAAAAAGGGTCCCACCAACTGCGCATGCCCAGGAGTTAACATTAGGCTTCAGTAGTAAAGATTTCTGTGCCCTGGACTTAACTGGAAGTGACTAAACATAACAACGCTCATGAGTAAAATTAAAGTTATTTTCATCAATAACATAAAATATTTATTTTGAACATCTAAAAACATATATACAAAAAGTTTAAGATTTAAGTGAAACAAAAGCGTACTTGGTGTCATCTCATACCAATATTCTTTCACTGATAATCAGGGCTCTCAAGTTTTAATCTGAGCTTGGAGGGAGATTTTGAGCAACTGACCACAGTTGCCAACTCCTCAGAAGGAAACTTTGTTTTTGGCTGTTCTAAAAGCCATGAAAGACATCATAGCCTGACTGGCATATTTGGACGTTTATCAGTAATTGTGCTTGATAGATTCATCTCTACATTGAAGAGAAAAAATAGTGAGAGTCTAAACATTTTTAATGTTTTTACATTAAAAATGTTTAGAACTGTAAATAAACTTAATAAAATAATTTCAAGATTTTATGCTTGGATTCAGATCAACATGATACATGGACAATATTTACACATTTCTAACCAACCAGGCTACTCATGGCACTTCACAACCCAATCTGTGCCCTCATTCACCCCTCCATCCACACTCTCAAACAGCATTTAGTGTCATAATCTGTGTTTATTTCTCAGTTTTCCTAGTGTTTTCTATGTTCCCCAGTGTGTCTTTGCCCAGCTGCCCCACATCTCCTTGATTGTCACCCTTGTGTTTCTCCCCAGGTGTGTTCTGTTTAGTAATTAGTTTTCTGTGTATTTAAGCCCTGTCCTGTCTCTGTCTTTTGTCGGATCATTGTTGTGTCTCATGTGTTGGTTCTGGTTCCTCGTGCTTTGTTCCCCTCGTACCTGTGATTCTTCAGTATCTGTAAGTTTGCTGCCAGCAGCCCTCTTTTTGTTATTTAAAAATAAATTTTTGTTATACTTTTGAGCCTGCCTGCACCCTGGGTTTGTTCCTGCCAGAATCCCCACATTTAGTGACTGTGCTCAAACAGTAAACTGCAGTACACTATGATCATATAAGTAGAATTGTATGCACAAAATTTATGCAGCATCTGGTTTTATGTATCTTTTACTGTGTACTTATGTCAAAGTTGAGCCCCTGATACATTTTCTGCGTAGGGCCCCCAAATGTCTAGGGCCACCCCTGGCCCCCACACAGATACACACACAATTTAACCAAATAAATCAACATAAACTGTCTGCACAAAAATTAATACCAGTGCTACAATGCTTATTAATTTATATGACTATTCAATAGTAAGTAAGTAAAACTTTATTCATATAGCACATTTCAAGATAGGGATCACAAAGTGTTTCGACAAACACAAACAAAAATAAAATAAAATTAAAATAGACAGAGAAAATTTAAACAAATGCATATTTAAAAAGGCACGTTTTTAACTGACCTTTAAGGGAGTCCGCAGAGTCTGCTGATCTTAAGTTCAGAGGAAGAGAGTTCCAAGGCCTTGGAGCACCAGCTGATCAAATAGCTACAACACCTGTCCTGTTTCTCCCACAATCCACGCACCTGTTGGTCGATGATGTTGTCTCAGTGACCCAGGTCAGTGTTTTACAGGTGATCACCAGACTTGTCTCCCCTCCCTGCTCCTCTCTGCTCCTTCTGCACTTCTCCACTTATCTGCTCCTCTCCAGCTAACGTAGGCTAGCATCCACCCACGCGAGCCATGCCTCCTCTTCCTCTCAGGACATTTTGAGGCAGTAAACGTCCTTCTACAGGTTCATCTGTTCAGGCAGCTGGTTCAAAAAGTTCTGCCAACTTCTGTAGCTTCATGTTGTTATTTAAACTCGTTCTGACAAATACAGTTTATTCACTTTAATGAGCACATTGGTCAGACCGTGGCTTACTATTAGTTTGAACCAGTCAGCAGCCACAGAGATGCATCTGTAATGATTGGAGTTAACTCAGCTCTGAAAACACCGCAGGAATAAAAACGAAGAAAACATTTTGACAAAACAGGTGGACCTTTTCTCATTTCTCACAGCTGCCCACAGGCCCGTTCCTGGCTTTGTTTTTCAGTGTGAGGAATGTCATGTGGGGCGTGTGTGGTGTGAAAACAGGAAAATGCGTGTGTCTCACACTCACTGCGTGAGACTTGAGAGCTCTGCTGTTATCGATCAGCAGATGTTGGGGGTCTGAAGACACAGTTTGTGTGCTATGTGAAAGGAGAAGAGGGGGTTAGAAGAATGCAGGGCAGTTGGTTTGCAATTGTAGCCAGTTCAGGAGATCCTTCTGTAGAGACGAGTTCAATGGAGGCAAACAACTGTCAAGATGCGTCGTGGCAAGTCCTTGGAGGAACACAAACATGGACAGGTAAGTAAATCAGACACATAAACATTAACTGAACGTCTGTAGAGCTTCAACCAAAATAGTGTGATGCTTCAGCAAAGACCAGGACGCAGAATGAGTCTTCAAAGCCTCAGGGGCTCATCAGCTATGGAGGACCAAACCTATCATAATGGGAAATAAATGTAGAAATATATAAATGGCTTGAAAAAGTAAATACATGGCTAAATAAAATAATAATGTGGCAAATTTAGCAACTAAACAATAAAAATATACTATTTTTTACCAATTTATTTGATTAAACAG